CATTTCCGGTGGGCTGGAAAGAGTCACTTTATTTAACATAACGAAAACAAACCACAATATTTTTAGGGTTTGGTTTCGTTAACCGAATATAGCTTAGATATTTTATACCTATTATAGTATAAGCTTACGGTTTCTCTCTGATTGAGCTGATTTGAAACTGTTATATGTATGTGGCTTAAAATTTAGCAGAATATGTATTATGGTTTTAAGCCTCATTTATAGGAGCATTATCACGTTTGATGTTACCCCCATAATTGAACTTTTAATTAGGTATTAGTTGTATCGTTAGCTCATTTACAATATTGTATTCTAATTAACATTGTACATAGCTTGTTTCGATGGGGGAAGCTAAAATATAATAATGCTCAGTCGAATTTCATAATGTGTTTAAAGATAGAATATGTCGACTCTCAGCCGAAATTCTTTTACGCTCTATGACGATTATCGTTCATGATTCCACAAAGATAGTTTGAGGATATATCTATATCCATTAAACGTGAGAACTTGTTCAGTGAAATGTAACCTGACCGCATCTTTAATTACATGACCACATATTATATTCCCTTTTAGTCATATCTTGGATAACAAAGATGTTCATTCTAAGGTGCTATATATCCATATTTCCATACTAATATTATAAATGTGAAAGTGTTTGTTTGTTCGTCCTTCTTTCACGTCGAAACGGAGTGACGAACTGGCGTGACTTTTTATGTGGAGATAGTTGAAAGGCTGGAGAGTGACATAGGCTACTTTTTGCCGCGGGAAATTATCACATTCCCACAGGAAAACACGTTATAAGACAATCCAAAAAAATATTTATGATCAGAATTACTTGAAACTTGGTATAATGTTCTTCAATACAATTAAATAAATACGTGTTTAAGCATTTTTCAAAATTCATCGCATAAGGGGGTAAAATAGGGCATAAAAGTTTGTATGAAACGTACATTTTTAGAGATTTTTTTGTAGTTTTGCGCGAGCGAAGCTTCAGGTTCTGCTAGTTAAATTATAAATACCTTTTGTAAACTACTGAGTATCAAAAGATTAGTGCCATGCCTTTCACTCCATTTTTATTTGCTTTTTATTAACTTCATATAGTATTTATAATTGACGTGGCTAAGGGCATGAGGGTACCTGCGCCAAATGTTAGAAATTAATTACTTATTTATTGTATATGACAATAATATGTTGGATATTAATTAGTAGAAAATAGTAACCTCGTTGCACCACTTCGAATTTTACTTGGTGGATTTTTATATGTCCGTATTTGAAATTAAAACATATTAAATTTTGTTTAAAATATTATAAAGTTTTCCTATATATAGTAGTAAATATAATATTAAGAAATAATAGTAATAATCGTGGTTAATGTTTTAATAATAAAGAAGAGTTTCAAGAGACTTTTACAAGGGCATCCTCTTATTTGTTATCTGTTTATCGCATAATAACGCAATGTAAACTCTTAAACTGTGAACATGAGCAATAAACGAGTCGTTACTCTCATATTAGTATACTTTTACATTGCAGTTTTTGTATTTATTTTTCAGAAATGAGACAATTTCCCGCTGTAACATGTATCCTATATGTTGACTCAAACCAGCTATGACCATACCAAATTTCATCAAAATCTCTCTAGTGGTTTTTCTGTAATGCGGTAACAGACAGACAGACAGACAGACAAACATTCTAAAAACTATAGATTCGGCCTCTATATCGATAATAATGTTTATCTCAATAAGATTTTCCGAAAAATATTTAATGTACAGATTCGGCTTAGTTACAATTTTATTATATGTATGATTAACTAAAGTCTCATTCGTTTTAACACTTAAACATCTTTTCTATGATTAATTAATCATTCAACTTACTATTATTCCTGTTACTTCACTTTTATCGATATTAGACATATGTAATATTTTTAGTATTAAATGTGTAATTATTGAAAAAAAAAACTTAAAATAAGAAATAAATCAAATCTTTCCTCAGCTTTAGCTTATTTATGAAATTCATCCGAAAAGTGTTTCTGGCAGTGTTTCAAGACTAGGGTTTGGGAAGTCTCGACATTCTCATAGTCCCGGGACACGAGACCACCCATGATCAGAATCCCGGGACGTTCCGGGACTTCAGAAGTCTTCTCAGAATAAAATTAGAATCGGGTTAATTTTTGGCAAGAATAAATAAAAAAGCAATTTTATTACAAATTAATATTTATTGAACATAAAATTAAATTATAGAACGTTAATTATAGTCTAAAAAATGCGTATATTTGATTTTTATAATCACAAATTCAGTTTTTGGCAGTAAAATCTTTTAATTATAAAACAAACATAAAAATACCTCAGGTAACTGCAATCCCTCTTTTAATGTTGTTTTTTAATGTACGTTGTGTACAGTGGAGCTAATAGTACTAGGTTTAGCGTCCATTATTCTGGCGTTTGGATACGAGGGATATTTTCAAAAAGTCTGCAAGGGATGTTCTTCTGTAAAAGTAATAAGCGCAGTTTTACTCAAATTCGATGTAAAAAAGTGTCTCGAGTCTCGACCCGAAAGAAGGACCCGAGACAACAATATTAACCGAAAGTTCCCGGGCTACGAGACACGAGGCGTCCCGGGATCCAAACCTTATTTAAGATGCATTTTTTTGATGTATGCTATATTTTTATTTAATTAAGATTTCGAAAGTCCGATGGATTACAGACTTCAGACTTGTATTATTATTCACTTTAATCATTAACGTTAATAAAAAATGTGTTATGTAGATTTAACAACTTGAAAGTCGAGTTGATTGTATTTGGATGTATGCTGATGTTTTCACTTGACCTCACAAGAGCACGTGTTGCCGGCTCGTTGAAGACACGTGCTTCTGCCGTGATTTTACTGTCACCGCTAGACGCGCTGCTTCATACTGACTATATATAAAGCGATCGAAGCGTGCTCTCAGCTCGCACGTCAGCATTATAATCACGCGTGTTTCGTATCGTGAATGTTGATAATGATAACTCTTCACCGCGCGCTTTTTTGCTGATCTCCGATTAATATCTTTGATGGACATACTCTCGTAGAACAGATTGTCTGGCAAGATACAAGTACAACAAACAAACAGTTATGTTGTATCGATAGTAATATTATATGGTAGTACATATTCAATTATTTATTTGAATTATTTGCTAACTCAAGGCCATTTCTAGATATACTATGAGACCCTAGAGTTTCTTAAATACAGAATATACTAAGTTATTATTATACGTTACAATATGTTGATCGAGTTTTATTTATTTTTAGGTATTCGCTCATTATCTCAGGTGGTTGTTTTTGTACGGTACGATATATGTCACCCTTAATAATTTCGTAAAAATTAATATTTTTCTTAAACATTCACACTGTGTATATGAATTTTATTTTTTATTTTTAAAATCAGTTTGGGTTTTAATAATATAATATGTAATATGTATATTATTTGAAAAATATTTACAACATGTCTATACTTAATAATTATTGATGCTACATATTACTTCTACAATACTAGTAATAATAAAAAAGGAATGCGAATCGGATTTGCATAAAAGTACATTAGGTATATGAATTTACTTTAATATGAACTTATTTAGAGTTATCGCCATATTATTTGAAAAGAATGAGTAAAACTATTATATACTAGTAACTTACTCTCTCTTCGCTCGGGTGCGATCCTAGGTACGTTTTCTATACTAATATTATAAAGAAGAAAGATTTAATTTTTTTGTTTGTTTGCTTGTACCGAATTGGCTCCGAAACTACTGAATCGACTTTAGATGGTAAGAGTAATAAGTGTTCATTTCACCAAATTTCGTTGAAATCGGTTAATTACTTTTTGCGTGAAACGCGAACATGTGTGTTACAGACATTTTTTTTTTTTGTGGTAGTCCCCTGCAATCAGTCGCCAAACTATAAGCAGGTGGGTTGAGCGGTAGGTTATGACTGATAGAGCAGCAAGGCCAATGCCTCACTGTCTACTCAAAGTACGTGGTTTCTTTTCAGCCTCTTAACCACGTTGGCGTTGTCAAGCAATCCAGAAGCAAGTGGATTGGGGTGCTGGGCAAGACGTTTGCTGTACAGTTTTTTATAGCGTTCTATTTCTGAGGCTACTGTTGCAATGTTCAGATACTCATGTATCTCGTCGTTCCTCGTGAACCGGGGGGCATTTGCGATACTCCTCAGGATGTTGTTTTGTACTCTCTGCAAGCACATGACATTACTCTTACTGGCCGTTCCCCACAGCTGAATGCCATAGGTCCAAATGGGTTTCAGAATGGAGTTGTATATAAGTATTTTGTTGTCCAAGGAGAGCACTGAGTTTCTGCCCATCATCCAGTATAGACTTCTGAATTTGTGGTTGATTTGATCCCTTTTTGCTTTTATGTGGGTTTTCCATGTTAGGCGTCTATCTAAGTGGAAGCCAAGATATTTTACGCAGTTACTTTGGGGCAAGATGTTATTCATTAAGTATACCCGTTGACAGTTTTCTTTTCTCAGTGTGAATGTAATATGACTGGATTTCTGAGCACTGGCTCTAATTCGCCATTTTTTGAGCCAGTCTGATGTGTTGTCGAGAAACATTACATGTCGTGTTACAGACATGCAGACAAATTTTTTAATACCTATTGTTTTGGGGTCTATATCATACATAATACGTTACAGTCATTGTTTTAAAAAATATATAATTAATGTACAGATTTCGCAAGTTACTGTTTTATTATATGTATAGATTAAAACGTACCTAGGGACGAAACCGAGAGAAGCGAGGGTAACTCGCTAATATTATAAATACAAAAGAAACCTAGGGAGGATACCCGAACGAAGCGTGTGTATGTCACTACTCACTAGTATCGTAATAAGGTACTTTCAAATCTATAATTATATTACGTGTTTTAATCATTATATTTTAATATTAATAAAGGGTTGTTAAAACGTTTTATAATTCACTTTTATTTGTTGCAGATTCGTAGGTGACAAAGGTGAAAATGACGGTGGAGAAGAGCAAAGGCACACAAAAAGAGGCACCACCGGCAACACGGAAAGTTGCACCGGACGGCGGCTGGGCGTGGATGGTCTGTTTGGGAGTGAGTTTAGTCAATGTGAGTGATTTGAAAAAATATATAAATTAATACTAAAAAGATATTAATATCTTTTTAGTTACTGTTTGTTTAGTTATTATTTATTAGTAACATTTTTATTTTGCCAAATACTGTAGTCGTTGAATAGGTATAGGTTTTAATTTAAATAGTCTATCCTTCACACAGTTTGGGTAATAAGGGATTAATCAATTTTCTAGATGATTATAATAGTTTGTTGATAGACAAACTTACTCGACGACAGGAAAATGATAAGATGAATCATTTGTATTGTATAATATTCCTTTTTATTTTTAACCGACTTCCCAAAAAAAGGAGGAGGTTATCAATTCGTCGGAATCTTTTTTTTTATGTATGTTCACCGATTACTCGAAGACGGCTGAACTGATTTGGATTTTTTTTTGTTTCAAAGAGTATACTTCCCAAGTGGTCCCATATAAATTTTATCGAAATCGGTCGAGCGGTTTTTTAAAAAATCAACAATAAATATATTTTTTAAATAAATTGTTTAATCGAATATGTTATTAAAAAACTTTCTTCTTACAAATTACCTGCTTATTACGTCTACACTAACAATGGTAAAATAAAAACTTAAAAAAAAAAACCGACTTCCCGGCACTAAAATATAAAAAATAACCCCCGTTTACTTATTTTTTACATTTTAGTGTCTAGAAGTCGTTTTTTTTTAGTTTTTATTTAAAGAATAGAATGTGACATACTTATACTTATTTTTAAACATTCATAGAGTAATTAAAAAAAAATAAGTATCTCGATCTACATATTTATGACACTTAGGTTGTTGTTGTGCCAAAAACGTGAGCAGGAATCTATTACGAGCGGCTAAATTCTAGTGAGCTACTTTAAAAAATTCAAAATTATAAAAAAAAATGGTTCAGTGTTTTTTTTTAATTTATATTGTGACGTAAAACTTTTATTTGCATATCCTTAGCTTAAATTTACACATTCAATTGGCGTAATTACTATAGTTTACGTTTTTAATTGACGCTTGTTTATAAATTAACTACAATTTAAAAAAAATACAAGCACCTATATGTTTTAAGTTTTAACTATCTGTTATATATTATAACTGTGAAAAGCGTGAAATGAATCTAAAGAACCAATCTCAAGGTTCTCTGGCACCATTAATAGATCACCTCAACGGCATTATAATATTGTATTATCACTTGGACTTTACACAGCAAGTTTCAAATTACTAAAAGGACAATCAACTTCCTAAAGATAATATTTGAAGTAAATCTGTGAAAGAATATGCTTGTGTAACGAGAAGATAAGATAATTTTAAGTATCTATTCATCGTGATTTGTGAATAAAATTAAGAGTTTTCCATAGATTGACTTGACGTCATCCATCTAGACGTTATCAATGAGATTGTGATAGGTCAACACAATGCACACATTTTAATATATAATATAGTTTTGCTATATTATCTATTGATTATTATAATAATTGGATCTGAGATTAAAATTGTTAGTCATAAATATCAAACAATGCTTTTCTGCATTAAATAAGTATAAATAATATTATAATATATTGATATTAGCACCTATTACTTTGTTAATGAGAAATTGTTTCTTGGTCATTACACAGAAACAATGGAGTGAATTTTAATATCATTCATTGAAGATTATTTTACATTTTTTTATTAACTATCTCCTTCGTTTCAACTCGGAAAATAAGGAAAATTTAGGGTACCATGACATTATGTATAGATAGACGTGGCAAAAACAAAACAGTTTAGATAACCTATTTCTTGTCGGTTTTCAAATGATTTTCCATTTTTTTTTGTTTGGAAACTATAGACGGGCTTTAGTATTATCAACAAAAAAAATTAGAAATAGTTCGTTTTTTTATATGGTTAAGTAAAGACAAAATAATTCAGTATTTTTTCACAAAGGATTTTCTTTTTTTTTGTTTAATAGCTATTGACGATCTTTTATCAATATTTATTGATTATAAAAAACATATTGTGGTCAAATTTCCACCACTGGACCAACACTAGTATATTATTAAAATTCGAGAAAAATAAAAAAAAATTAAGTTTATTAATAAAAATAGTTTCAATATAATCCATATTCTCGTTTTGATTTTGTCATTACATTATATAAAATATGTATGTGTTGTAATACAACTGTGATGCATAATAACATAATAACATGTTCCTTATAAGGAAGCCTTGGAATCTTCCACGAATTTCAATTCGAGTCGGACATACTTCACGCGTATTATCATCACTGTAGTCTACTCAACGCTTCTCATTATTCTATAAGTATAAGTGCTTAAGGTTTGAAAAACATCCGTATTATTACATTATTTTAGAAATTCTTGATAATTTTGAAGTAATTACAGGAAGTGTCCATCCACCCATCCACATTCTACCGACATCATCATTAGTGGTTACAAATCTTGTGGGCGTTTTCAGGGCTCAATGCGTGCACAAAATAAAGTAATCAATGCTCAATATTTATTAATGGAAATGATAATGTTATAAACTTGAAACGAAAATTCTAATAGTTTAGTTGAGGAGTGGGTTCTCGACACCGATCCGACTTCAACACACAACACTCCAATGATCTTCCATGATCTACCAACATTATCTTCTATTATAACCTAGTTCTAGTGGGCATAGTAGTCCGTGCTATGCTCAGTTCTGTGCCTGATACGTTCATAGCAATGTCATGGTATGAAACGTGTAGTGGGCAGACAGATACATGAAGGTTTTACATAAAATGATAAATTATAATTCATTCCTACTAAATCCTTCTCCGACATATATAAAAAAATCTTTATTTTTATGATACCTATTCGTTTACCTATTAGTAGGTACTTTTGCAGTTTGCATAGATGATTTCTGCGATCAAATAGTCTTACTATTAGATAGATTATTTATAGAGAGTATATGAATGTACTTTATTATATGTATATAAAAATTAACTCAAAACGTAATACTTATAGTTAAAATAAGTATCTTTGTACTGTATGTATATTTATTATTTACTACTATATATGGTATTGATTAATAATAATTAAACACGTAAACAGACAACAAAACCGTTAAAAATAATTACGAGTATTTCGTCTAACGATTGACTTTTTTTTGATTTAAATAGAAACTTTATTCATTCAAAAATAATGAAAATCGCTATTACCAATTTTCCATGCGTAAGGTACACATAAAAGATTTACAACTGAATTATGTTTCTCTTTTTTGAAGTCGGTCGAATTTAAGGTATAAAAGCGGCATATATTCTTAACATTAAAGTATATTTTGATTTAATTGTCAAACTAAAAACATTTAAAGGTTTGTGTAACTATACTGTTTGTTTCATTGTGAATATGATTGCGTGGTCAATGTCTATCGCAGTAATATTAAATTGTACGATTGCTTAACTAGCATCCGGTAGTCACATGCTCTCGCTTCACTCTCCAGTATGACACAATTATTTCATATATCTAGTACCACGGTGCATATATATACCTACTAATCTTTAACTGAAGATGTGTAAAGTAAAAAATAAAAAAAGTTATAATTTGAAGTTCCATTAGACTTGTCTTCCGTCACAAAATTGTGTTTTCAAACCAATCTATGTACCTATTATAATATGTTAAGAAAATATTGCTAAATAATAAAATAATCTTTAAAAATCGGTTAAAGTATTATATTGTATGATTTTATCCTTTATAAAATCCCTATATAATGTAAAACGTTGTAAATTGATATATTTATTATTAGTATTGCTTTTTACTCTTTCTTCCTTGAAGAATATTAGATAGCTATCAAGGAATATCTTTTTTCTAATCTAATTACTTTAATACTTTTTTATTAGAAACAGGCGTTTTAAGGACCATAGCAAATATACCATATTTTATAAGTATATAATTATATGTGTGTTGGTTTTGTTTAATATTTTGATATTACCTATTCATGAAATAATACAGTCGTCGTATAAAATATATGTACATTATTCGACGCTCTACAAGGGCATGTCCCACGCACTTCGGTTAGTAAAGCAATTCTACCGGTGACAAGACATATGTCACGTAATCTTATTCGCAAGCCGCAATATTAAAGACATTTTAATATTAAACAGATGGTGTAAACATTGCTCATGTACTCTCATTTCTCAATATAAAAGTTAATAATAATAATATTTTATTTGCATAAAGATATTGTAGTTTTTACAAATTTTGTGGTTGAGATCCCCTTTTCAACCTTTTGCTTTGTATGGGCTGGCACCGATTTCGAAAATATTTGATTAGGTATGTATTTAATAGGTAGGCTTTAATTACTTAGCCAAAGCACACCGACTTCAAAAATATTTGATTAGGTATGTATAGTAAATGAAAACTACCAATCAGTTATTTTTTACTTTTTAGTGCTTTTGTTTGAAGTCGGTTTTTATAAGCAAATAATTTGCCTGCATTAGGAATAATAATAATTAATTTATAATTTATATCTAATATACTTAATTTACAAAAAGAAATTATTTTCTAATGTAACCTAAAATATACGAAATTAATTTGAGGAATTAAAACATTTGTATTTCTTACTTAATCTGAAGAAATGATTTTTTAAAAAAAGCTCTCGTATAATAAAAATAAATCCTATTATCAAAATTTATCTATATTTTATCGTTGTCTGTACATGGAAGATATTTGAGAAAAAATATTATTGGGGGTCTTTATTAACCCAATTGAACCCAAAACAATAATTTTTAGATGTTTTGTCTGTTTGTCTGTGCGTTTGTGCGCGCTAATATCAGCTTAACATTTAGTAGGTGTTTGTTTTATTTCAATCAGTTTATAAATAAAAAAGTAATGTCAATTTAAAGAATCACCTAGGGTGAGTCGCTAGTCTTCAACATATGTTTTTTATTTCCAGTTTTCAACACGTTCCCTCGAGCCGTCCTTCGGTCTTCTATTCAAGGACCTTTTAGATGATCTCGGCGTTCACACGACTGGCGCGTCTGTGATAGCCAGTACCCTTGATTCAGTGGTTAATTTCTCTGGATTCTTTGTGGGCCCTGTGATAAAAACGTTTTCTTATAGAAAAGTTTGTTTTGTTGGCTCCACGATATGTGCCCTTGGCCTTCTTTGCACCGCACCCGCGAGCAGCATGGGCCATATTTTAGCAACCTATAGTATATTAGGAGGTAAGTTACATGTTTTTTATCAGATTAAACTTCTATAATTTATTTGACTATAATATTATCAGGACTTGTAAATAATGCTAAAACTCAGTTCATAAATTTTCTTTGCTATATGCGCGACTCATTTTCGCTTTGCTGTTTTTTATTTTTTTTGTCAATTTTGTATATTATTATTTAATTTCTTCTTGCTTCTAAATCAATATTACAATGAAGTTAACCCGTAAATGAGACACACTTAAATGATTAAGTTCTCGTATCTCTTACAGTATTATAGTTTAGCGTCTATAGAGCAATTGATTATTATGACTTTGTATAAGCTTTATGAAGACATGCTCAAAATAATTATTTTCAAAAATTCTTATAATAAACCCGGTGTTCAAAATTGATTCTTTAAAAATATATTCAAATCCTTATAAAATAATTATTGATCTCTTTGAAATATTATAATTACAAAATTTTAAAATATTTAAGGGTAATCTGGGACACCTCCAACTCTACTGAGTTTATTTCAATTTTCTTAATATACATGTTTATAAATATACTGTATGTATTACATAAATATATCTAAAATATATGTACATCGCTGTTCTACAATAAAAAAATGTTTGGTCGTTTCGGAGAGAATTTATTATATAACGTACATATTTCTGACCAATTTCGGTTAAGGAGGCCAACCATGAGGTTAGGGCTTATGCGCAGAAGATATTATTATAGTGCACAAAACGTATCTGCGCAGACATTAGAGAACTCGATTTTTTTCACTCCATTCGACTTAACCGGTAAGATATTAGGCGGAGGACTGCTAACTTTCGACCTCTAGATGAAGAGTTTAAACCAAATATGTAATTATACTTGACTCGATCGAACCAAAGATCTTCAGATTTGCAGCCGAACGTGCTTTTTACGAGACCAGTGAGGAGTATTCTTTACAGACTGATGGATCCGGGGACTCTTATTTTATTCCAAGTATTGAAGCGGTTAAATATTATTCATAATAATCATTTTATTGAATGTAGATATAGTATTTGTATATATAGATAAAGAGCATTGAAGTCACACCCACAGTACGTGAAATTTCTGAAAAATGTACCTATTCGTTACGTCATTTGGCTTGCATGGTGGAAATATTATTTAAAAATTATTATGCGTAATTATTAACATTACAGGTGTAAATTGTAGATTTCTAAGAAATTAATTAAATTTCTAAGAAATCTATTGTTAACTGACACGCCGGCGTGTCCGCGGTCGTGGAGGGATTAACATGGTATGCTTAATTGATTATGAGGATTCAAGGAAGAATAAAGAGTGACGTATAATAGTAAAGTGTTTTAAATCTAACAACATAATATACCAGTTAGTATTCTATTTCATGCTAAATTTGGCCTTCGTATTCATATTTTATTTTTAGCACAAACAAACACAAATTTAATCTTTACTAGTTATTGCTGCCAGTTGTTTCGTGTGTACTCTTGCGGCCTACACGAGATGTCATGCTACAATCATTGAAGAACAGAAATTTTAAAAATTGTGTTAGAATGATTTTGAACCTTATCTCGTAATAATAGAGGTTAAAGTATGAAATTGCCGATTTGTACTGAAAAATTGAAATTAGTTTTTTTTTAATTTAACATATTTATTTAATCAAAATAATTACCATTATTATCTACACATTGCTGCCATCTAGTAGGAAGGTCATTTATGCCTTTGCGATAGAACCCTGGTGATCTAGATTCGACAAACTGTGTAAAAAGCATTTTGTACTGCCTCCTGAGAAGAAAACTTTTTATCACGTAGAAAATTGTCCAAATCACCAAAAAAATGGTAGTCTGGCGAATCGGAGGGTGACGAATGGTTTCTAATTGCAGTTCCTGTAGAGTTAAAACGGATTCTCGTGCTGTATGAGGTCTCGCGTTATCATGGAGCAATAATGGTGAACATCGATTCATGAGTCGGGGCTGTTTCACTGCTAGTTTTGCTATCATTGTTCGGAGTTCGGCACAGTCGAAATCTGCCGTTATTGCTTGACCAGATCAGAGAAAGCTATAGTGAATAACACCATGGTGAGACCACCAAACAGTTACCATTACCTTTTTATAGGTAAGCTATGCTTTAGGACACTGTTGCGGCGTTTGACCTGGGGTCAGCCATTGCATTTTTCGTTTACGGTTATCGTAAAGTATCCACTTTTCATCACATGTCACAAATCGATCCAATATTCCTTCCATTTCAGTATCTATTCAACAAGGCAACACAAGTTTTAACACGCGTTTCTTTCTGCAGATCAGTCAAATTATGAGGCACCCATTTACATATTTTATTTATTTTATTGATTTGACGCAAGTGAGTCAATATTGTTGGTAAGGTATTGTTAAACCATGCCGCTAATTCCTGGGTAGTTTGGCTCGGATCGGCTCCACCATCTCTTTCAATTCATTGTTATTCACCTGTGTCTTCCACGTGATTCGTTCTTCAAATCAAAGTTTCCATCACGAAAGCGCTTAAACCAAAATTTAATGTACACTTCTTCAATGATAATTGAAAAAATGTAGTTTACTAAGTATAAATTATCGATTTCTCCAATTTTTATAATTTTTAAGTGAGTGCAAGGCGAAAAGAATGAGCCCTATTTTTAAATTCTATATTTATTAATTTTTTTAATTAAATAAAAAAAAATTAAATGTAAACGCCCACTTGAAGTTGGGGGTTATTTTCATCCTCTCGAGACCATAAAATATACTTTTCAATTTTTACATTTCAATTTAATTTTTTTTTTTAATTTATTACATGTATTTCGAAGATTACATTCCCTTAGTTTCATGAAAATCAAAAGATTATTCTAGAATGTAAAAATAAAAAAAAAACAAGAAAATGCTAAAAACCGCGTCTTCTGCAAATATCTCGAAAACTTTGAGGTTATTGTAAAAAGTGTTATTTATAAAAGTTGTAGATTTGCCACTTATTTATTGAGTTCAATTTATGAATCACTTATTGTTAGTTAAAATCATTATGTAACACCTTCCATAGCGTTATACATAATTGTGTCTTCCGTTCGTTCCGGAAACTAATAATTTATATGGAATCTACAATTCCATTACCTAAATATACCTATATAATGCAGTCAAATATATTTTTAATGTTAGCTTAACCTTGAAATGTGTTAGTGATTATGATATAACATAAATAGTACCTATAACATCTTAATTGAAACCAAGAATATATTTTGCTATAAATAAACTACTTGTCATTCATTGATTCATGAGTCGGTTACCTAATGAAAGTGTTTACACGTAAATACGTAATATTACGTTTAAAGAGACTTATAGGTTACTAGGGTTTTAAGGTTAGCATAGATTTCTCAGAGATGATATATTTTCCCGCATTAAAAAGTATCCTATATGTTGCCCAGATAACCAGCTATCGTCATACTTAATTTGATCAAAAACTGTACAGTGGTTTTCTCTGATGCGTTCCCAGACAGGCCGACAAAAATTCTAAAAACTATAGATTCGGCCTCTGTATCAATAATAATTACTATTTCGATAAGATTTTCTAAAAAATATTTAATGTACAAATTTGACTTAGAATTTTATTATATTTATATAGATCTATATTCTTACTATATTCTTACAAGTAAGAATCAATATATGTATAAATATAAAAATGAATGTACGTTTTTTTGTTTGTTTGTAACGTATGCATTTCTAATTTTTATGTCATTCATCGACTTGCAACGAAACTTATTGTTAGGCAAATTAGTGTGCAGGCGAAGGTAAATGCTAATATAATTATAGTGAACGACTAGCTTCGTGAATTATATCGGATAGTTTGAGATTTATTACTTTGAATTACAACAAGTACAAACAAATAGTATCTAATTAAACTGCATGTATCATTGATACTAGCAGTGGCAATAAACAGGCCTCCTTAGAATTTTGAAAATTATAAAATTAAGAAAAACATAATATAATTTAAAGAAAACCCTACTAACGACACCAACAAACAATAAATTATTATTTATTTTAAACAGTATAAAGAATTATTTATTACTCTTGCAAATCTATACATATAATAAAAGTGTAACTGATCGCTGTCTGTACATGGAAGATATATGAGAAAAACTATTATTGGGGGTCTTTATTAACGAAATAGACCCGAAACAATGATTTGGTAAGCTTCACTTAACATTTAGTATTTGTTTTATCTCAATCTGTCCATAAATAAAAACGTTTTGTTCATTTAAACAATCACCTAGGGCTAGTAATAAAATATATGACGACGCGTGTGGCTCAGTTTGTAGTGACCCTACTTGCTGTGCCAGCGGTCGCGGGTTCGAGTCCCGCTGGGGGCATTCATTTGTGTGATGAGCACGAATGTTTGTACTCCAGTCATGGGTGTTTATATTTATAATATGTATGTATTTAAAGTTATATATTTGTAGTGTATCAACTATCTGGTATCCATAACACAGGCCTCGTAGCTTACCATGGAACTAGATGGTGATGTGTATTAATATCCCAACATATTTATTTATTTATTTATAAAAAATAATAATCACCAAAGTTAATTTAGAACACAGTGGGTAACGTGAACTAAAAATGTAGTATAAATAGTAAAGTGAATGTTGACACAGACAGTAAATAAATTAAACAACCAAGCAATTAAACACACAGCTGAAGTAGACATTAATTATAGCATATTTTATTGTCAGTTACTAACAGCAGCTTTTTAAAAATAAATAAATAATATATTACTTATAATTTATTACTAATAATAAATAAAACATACAAAAATATTCTTGTTTATAACTATGTAAATAGATCGTTAAAATCTAGCCTTTTATTGATTTAATTGAGGTTATATTGACATTCGCTATATCGATGGCACTTTTTGATTACATTACAAAGATTACCTAGATTAGATTGACAATGAAGTGGTCCGTACTCTTGACACAGAAAGAAATGTCCTCATTTTTTATATAATTTGTATACAGAATATAAGAATATATTAACCGACTTGAAATATGGATAATACGGACGATATTTATGGAACGTAAATTGTTAAACTATTCTAAAGTTTGTATGTTTATCATATTTATCTTATAATAGTAGAACCCGTGGCTTTAAAACTACAAAAAAAAAACTTAAAAGATAGGTTTCATACAAACTTTCATCCCCCATTTAACCCCTTATGGGTTGAATTTCGAAAAATGCTGAAACACGTATTTATTTAATTGTATTGAGGTGCATTAATGCCAAGTTTGAAGTAATTCTGATCATAAATATTTGTTTTGTGTTGTATTATAACGTGTTTGTCTGTGGGAATGAGATAGTCTCCCGCGGTAAGAAGTACCCTATGTCATTCCCTAGCCCTCCAACTATCTCGACACAAAAAATCACGGCAATTCATCACTCAGTTTTGACGAGAAAGAAAAACAAACAAATACACTTATAAACATAATCACGGCCATTCATAAAGTTACTCAGTTATGTATATCAAATTTTTTATATTGTGTTTTGGTAACTTGTTGTCTTGAACAATTTTCTTTTATACTTAGGACAAAAAAATCATGTATTATGTTTGTTTATCAAAATATTATTGGTTACTTACCAATAATATTTTGATTATAAATGTTACTATGATATTTTTGTATATCACACTTTGGGTTCTAGAAAATATAACGAATCGTGATAATTTAGCACAAAGCTATAAGGATAATATTATATAACGAATGTGAATTAATAAGTAGTATTTCTAACACGTCTGAAGACCTCATTTTACGAGTAAAATTATGCAAGGCTATTTAGACTAATGGAGATAATTTGAAAAACGTTTTAGCATAATAGAAAAATATGTACTTATATGCATCTTTTCAGTAAGTACAAAGTGGTTTTACATTAAAAAAAGTAAATAACTTTAGTTCTTTCGTATTTATATTAAATGAATGTATTCAATTGTATTATATTTATATTGTATAAATAATAAGTTTTGTATAGTTGTTGATTTCATATAAAGGCAAGTCAAGGCCGCTTGCTATCCTTTTGAAAGTAAAAAATAAACATTTTGAAAAGATAATAAAGAAACAATATTTTCAATTATGACTTTTAATTAGACAATATTAATTTTACCATCTGATGATGCTGAAATTTTGATACATCAACGCACGGATTAAACAGCTCGATCTGAAAGAATAACATTCATCTAAAGTTGGGCAAAGTTATAATTAATCAAAAATGTTATACGGAGCTTACAAAATATAGCCATGAGGTTTGGAAAACGTTCGAGAAATAATTAATTATAATAATTTAACGAGCAAATTCGTCGTAATAAAATTGTATTCAGGTTAAATAAAAATGCGGACGAAGCCCAAACATGCTGCTAGTAAACATCAATTGTGATAAATATACATATTAAACTGTTTTTCTCAATGCAACTTCCTTACAAACAGCGAAAATCACAAATCACCTGATCTCCAGTTTTGACCAAGAGAATTTATAAAAATTGAAAGTGTCAATTCAATCAAATTATTTAAAAAAAAAGCAAGTCGTATATATAAAGTGTTGGACATCTCATTTTTTAAAATTATTAGGCATCTCTGATTATTACTTGTTAGTTTGTTTATATTTACTATGCAAATTTTGATTGCCCAAATAATATAGTTTATTTAGAAAACTAGGAAATACATATAATGTAAATTGGACATATTTCATATAACAAGATACAAATATATATTACACAGATGAAATTTGTTTTACTTTTGAGGAAGTCCTATAATTTGTTTCAACGAAATAACCTTTGTAGGATATTATTACTTATTTGAATTAGTTTTTCGGTATCACTCCTGTAATTGAAGGAAACCGAAAAACGTAGTAAAGATTTATTATAATTATTTTGATATTATGAAATATGTATATTGTATACAAGTATGATTAGGTTTGTAAGATAGCTCCACTACTTACATCTCCTAGTGTATTCTTACCTATAACACCTAATAAAACTATTAAAATATTTAACATATTTTTTGACATATATTTATATAAGTTATAATTTATATTGATATATATTAATATTTAATTAAAAATTATTTGTTTCAGGATTTGGTGTGGGTCTCGCATCGTCATCTTCATTTGTGTCACTAAATCATTATTTTTCTAAGAAACGTGGCCAAGCTGTTGGGTTGTCTATGGCAGGCACAGGATTCGGTTTGATGGTTATGCCCCAACTAGTTAAACTTTTGCTTAGCGAATACGGGTTCAGATGGACAGTCGTTATATTAGGCGCTTTGGCCTTTCACGCTGTTCTCGGATCCTGCTTACTTCAACCAGTGAAAAGGCATCTAATAGATGAGCCAATTGACTGTGAATTGCAAACAGTGAAGGTACGATAGTTTAATAACCTTAACTTAAGTACGTACTTTTGTTCTATGGAGATACAATATTTTTAACAAATATTAAATTTGTATTGTATTCAGTCCTTTTTAACGTCTCTCCTACAATACGAGGGGGGTCAGGCCATAGTCCACCACGCTGGCCAAGTCGAGAAAACTTGTTAGGTTCTCTCAAACATGCAGACTTCTTTACGATGTTTTCCTTCACGGTAAGACAAGTGGTAATCACGTTAAAAATGATTCCCACAAGAAAATATCATAAGGATTTTCACTGCCTCGAATTTGTATACAACAATATAATGTTGTGCTATTTATATATTAAAACATACATATGTACTTATCTCATATTTAAATAAAAGCTTATATGAAAAAAATAAAATTTTAGGAAATGGAGTGTATAAACGAAAGCGATGAAGAAGAAGACGATAAGTTCGAAGTTAATCCGCTCGTAACCCATCCATTGCCAAAGTTAACTAAGCAACGATCGAATGTGAACATGAACCATCCATCAGTTCGAACGATTGGTCTCCCAAGGGCTAAAACATATGATAAGCCCTTACAAGAGTTTGATACTAATGCTAAGTTCACTCCGGGGCTAACTACGGCCGCATCAGTCGGGACAATGCAAAGAGTGACATCTAGCGGCAGTATGAGTGAAGCAGCGAGGAAGAGAAAAGTATCTGTGATATCGAATATATCTAATATGGACTTCACGGGAAGTTACCTGCAGCTGTATCTTGATGTAAGTTGACTCTTTGTTTAGTTTAAGTTGGTTTAGAACACTTTATTTTTAATGTTGTATAAATATGTATTTATGAGCGTTTCATAATACAAATAATGGAACATATAATATTATTAATCGAATATTCATATATAATGAAAACGATTTGTCTTTTGTCACGCCATCGCGTAAAAACTATTGAACATATCTAAATGGGGCTTTGATCAATCTTTTATTTTGAAATCAATAATAATAATCAATTTATTTTTTGAATTCCATACACTCTTCACCATTTCTTTTTATTTATTTTAATAAATATTTTTCAACGTCAATAAAAACAAAAGACGTTACACGTTTTGTTAATTCATTTGTTTAATTTAACGTAAATCGTTAATACAGAAACGAAAAAACTAAAATATATCCATAAGACTAAAAGAAACATTTTAACAAATAGATTATGTAGCAACAATGTTAAATGTTAGAGTCGCCAACTAGTTAGCGAGAATAAGAAAAATCGTTCAACAATAATTTGCACTGTGAAGAAGATGAAATATTTTAGAAAAATGACAGCATAATTTTTGGTAAAATAATAATTTTTATTTTCATACAATTTTCATGGTTTTCAGACAGTAGATGACGACGCTCTACAAATGAAATCTTTCAAGAAGCGTCAAGAAGAGCCAGTTAAAGAAAAAAAACAAAGCTTTGTCAAGAAATTTATAAGCCTGATGGACTTAGATTTACTTAAAGATTGGTCGTTTTTGAACCTTTTACTTGGTCTTTCACTATTTTGGAGTGGAGAACTACAATTTAGGATGTTGACTCCATTCTTTATAAGGAGTTTAGGATATAATATGAATGAAACAGCTTTCTGTTTGTCCATGACCGCCATCACTGATATAGGGGTCCGGTTAATTTTACCACCCATATTTGACAGAACAGCTATCACTAAAAAGATGATCTTTTTTATATCGGCATTCTTTTTAGCTGCCACAAGATCAGGTAAGTCCATTAATCATTACATAAATAATACTTTCTTAGATTTACGCCAATATTTTAAATACGACCGTGATTGCTGTAAAGCATTCGAAAAGTCGGGAACCTAAAATCAAAATAAATCTGCGGAAAAATCCGAAAAGATAGTTTTATTTACTATATAATATTTTTAAGATTTTTTTTAAATACTAACCACGTTTGCTATTTTATTGTAAAACCACTAGACATGACCCACGCTAAGAATGGGATTACAATGAAAAGTTTGAAGAAATCTTTAGATTTACTACAATGATTTTGAAATGAATCTTTACTAAATTTTAAATTAAATTTGAACATGAATTTATTAAAACTTTCTTAGATTTATGCGAATATTGACATTTTAATTAAAACTATGTTTTCGGATTTTTCCGCGGGTTTATTTTGATTTTTGGTTACCGACGTTACGGGAGAAACTCTCATGGGATATTTATTAGTTTCTTTAGAGATACAATCTCTTATATCTATATAAAAACGTGAAATAAAAATCGAAACTTTACTTATTTCTAAATTTCATGAGGTATAATATAATAACTAATTCTTAAAAAAAATCAAATTCCAATTTACATTTCAGTACTCGCCGAACAATCAGAATGGGTTCCGTTAATGGTGTGGCTTTCTATATGTGGTTTCTTCAGAGGTATGTGCCTTAGTAACTTCACACTCACCATATCTGAGTACTGTCCGTTGGAAAAACTTCCTGCCGCTTTCGGCCTACATATGGTCAGTAAAGGAGTCTTGGTGGTTATCATTGGGCCGTTGATTGGTGAGTATTTTGATATTTTAAGTGATAACTTTGTTTTTTCCTAGTATAATTTGCGATCAGTCTTTTCACTATAAGCAAATTTGTTGAGAGATTGCTGTCATGTGAAGTTGATCCTCATTAGGATCTAAATTCATTCATTATTCAGGCTAGAATTATAATGCTAGGTCTAGTATGGCTTTTGTTTTTGAGACGTCTTGGACATAGGATACTTTTTATCCCAGAAATCATTCCTTATGGTGGTGAAAATGGGGATGAAAGTTTGTATTGGGAAGCAATATATTTAACTTATTATATATATAGTATCTGAGCGACCGAGCTTCGCTCGTAGTTTTTGGCCAAAAAAACATAAAAAAAAACAAACAAAAAATTTGAATAAATACAAAAAAAAACAAAAGTAAAAACTTTGTATGTGACCGGATACGAACCCAGACCTGTGGTTGTTAAACTTGCGCCTTGGCCGCTTTACCACGATGCTTATCATGTCCTAGCGTGCGAATTAGCTACCATATTTTGCGTGGAATAATGCGAAACAAAACAGCATGAAAACACGTGTTTTCCCAGACATAAAACTAATCTAGATCGATTTATCGCCCCCGAAACCCTCAGTATATTAAATTTCATGAAAATCGTTGGAGCCGTTTCCGAGATTCAGATTATTTAATTTTATAGATATTAACGAGCAATTCTTGTAATAATAATGAATGATGTGATGAATGATGAATAATGAATGATGAAATTGCTTATAGCAATAAGTCTTTGCATGCCTTTTGTTATCTTTCTTGTTCTTTTCCTTTTATGTATTATCTTTCTGTGTGCAATAAACTATTTATAAATAAATAAGATTACTAATTAAATACACTTTTATTCCAGGTTACGTAAGAGACTACACAGGAAGCTTTGCAATGTGCATACACGTACAGAATGCGATGATAATGTCCTGTGTGCTAGTGTGGGGGGTGGAGTACGCTCTAGCTTTCACTAGACGGCGTAAAATTGTACAAATATAGAACGGACGTACATACAGTAATGGCAAATTATTGCATATAGCTTAAAAACAGATATAATGGTTTTTTTTAACAGAAAAAAAAAACATATTTAAACAATATATTTTGTGTTAAGCCACTTTAAAACAATAGCTGCAAGCTTACTTTGTATACGTTTGAAATTTTTATTGTTATCCATAATTTCATATCGGATACGTTGATTTATATATAAGATGTTAAATTAGCTGCCATGTTGTTTTGTAGACATTCGAAGTATACTCGTACTTCTACAGCTCAAGTGCTTTCGAAACTGCCAATCTAAGCACTCAAAATATCCATTTAAATAATTTTAAATGATATTGTTTATTTCCTTTTACATATTTGTGTTTATTTAATCTGTTTAGATTTCTATCTATTAGGATTAGGTTTTTTTCTGCCTAACTTTAGTTAAGGTTTTTGAGACTAATGATAAATTTTATGTAACCCGTATTACTTTTAATTTTTTTATTTTCCTACAAAAATAATATTTTTAGGTTGGCAGCATAAAAATGGTCTAAAACGTACATTTGCATTGCACTTATTAAATGAATTAAGTACATGTTGTCTTGTAAAAGTCATATTAACATAGAAAATCTTATAAATCTTTGACGTTTTCTATGCAAATACCATAATTTAGGCCAATTTTGCACTGAAAATTAACAATAAAACGTAAAGTAATAAGGGTTACATAAGATTAAATACATTTTAGATTTTATCCAGTGACATTAATTATTAATTTAATTATGTTATTCGTAACTTATGGTACCGAGTGTTTCTGGTATAATGTGAAAGATTTAAAATTAAATTATACCTATAAGTCTGATAAAAACTATTTTTTCTATAAAACTTAATAATATTACAAGCTAGTATTATTTGTCTTTTACTTAATCTGAACACTCTGTGCTTTTATTTAGCTGTTTTAGACTTAGTGAAGTTGAATGAATGTTATTGTTATTCGTTAAGTGGATTTTTCTCTCTTATTATCTCTCAAATACATCTTCTTCCGAACATGACTTTCAACGTGACAAACAAATTGAACTTTATTAGTATGTAATAAGACTCAAAATCAATTTTACAATGATTCCTTGACCATTAAATGCTCGAAGTTGTAATATTTAGGCCCGTTTTAGATATATTTTCTAGAAATTCTTTTTACGATCGTATTTTTAGATGGCTGTACGTAGTTTTGACATTTTTTATGTAGATATTTTAGACGATGACTCTTTATATGGACCTATTTGTCTACTTACCCGCTCTATATCTTTTGCTATTTCTAAATATAATTCAACATGAATTTAACTTTATATATGTCTTTTTTGTTTGTTTAATTAACGATTTTTTGGGTATTGGATACTTTCGATTCGAACTATTTAAAAAAAATATTTTTTTACGTTTTAACAACTTACTTTTAAAAGCCATCGGGCTAAACAAAATCACAATATTTGGAATTATCATGAAAAATATTTTGTTTAAAAAAATAAGAATACCATCAAGAATGAGTATTAGTTTGCATAAATCGATTTAATAATTTTTAAAGACAGTTGTTTATAGTTTATATGACGCTAGTATATTATGTACTAAGTAAAATAGATTTCTTTTGAAGTATCACATTTTTAATACCTTCTTTGACAGTGATTAGAACGTTTAGAAGATTCTGGTTTTATAATAATGTTGTAAATTTAGAAATTACTAGCGACTCACCCTCGCTCTGCTAGGGTTCTTCCCTAGTTACGTTTTAACGTCTAGTATAGATTTTTAGAGATGAGATATTTTCCCGCAGTAAAAAGTATCCTATATGTTGACCCGGATAACTAACTATCATCGTACCTAAATTTCCTTAAAAATCTGTTCAGTGCTTTTTTCGTGATGCGTTCCCAGAAAGACAGACAAAAATTCTAAAAACTATAGAAAAGAAATTCTTCCAGTGACTGATCCCATTTAAAGAATAATTTACTTTTTTATATGTACAATATATAAACTCTTTGAAAGTTTTATACACATTGTTGTTTCAATTTACTGTTTTATATATATTTTTTTAATACAACTGTTATATTTTTTGTATTTTTTTAAAATGCCGTCTATCTCTGAATAAAAGATCAATTTTGCTATTTACGAGTTATATCAGACCATTGTTTAAAAAATATTATAATCTAAAAACTACGAATCGAATTATTAAATTATCTCGCATTGTTTGAACAACTATGATTAAGTTATATTTTTCTTATAATATGAGGATATTTGTGACAGTTTAAATATCACTTATTTTATACAATTTAAAACTACCCTACTAAATATTACTGTAACCTTTGATACTTTCCAGTGAGGACTTTATGGGGGTTTTGGCGCCAGAAGCGTATAATTTAGGGTAAAAACATGTAGGGGTTTGACATTTCCTGTCAATGTCATTTGTCAATGCAATGATACTTTCGGTTTAAAGATATTTTTATTCATAAAAGTCAAATAAAGAATTGATTTGAAGATATTTATTTCCATAAAGAAGACACATTGTCATTTACATGGAAACAAATAATTTAGTTGTGATAGGTGTCGATCGTAAAGTTATATACTCGTAAAGATCGTAAAGTTATAGACAGTTCTGTCAGTTAATCTGTTATATTTATTAGTAAAAAATTTTTTTTGGTACTTAAAATGAACACAAACCTTTTTTCTTTCCGTCGCGTCGTATGCTAGTGGCGCCTCTATCTGGGCTACTTTTCACATGGGTTTTCCCATTATTTGAGTGTTATGTTTAATATAATTGCTATGTGCATTTAGTATTCGACTTTCTGTCTTCCAAAAGTTAATTTTTATCAATATTTCGATGTATGAACGTGGGCTTTTTGATATATGTGATTTTAGTGACCAAATAGTATACTAACTTTTGATAAAAGCGTTATTGTACTTAGAAATGTAATTTCGCGTCATTTTGACAATTTAGGCATCATGTAATCTGTACTTATAACCAGCAAACAATTAATGAAATGTATGTGCCAATTATACTTAATTATGTAATTTGTGTCTTCATTCAAACAAATATACATTAGTATTCTATTATTAGATAAAAATATAAGAATATTAATGTATTCTTATTCAATTTTCAAATCAAGTAGATAACAAAAGCATTTAGATATCGAATTGAAATGGTGGATGTTGAGTAGAATGTTTTGGCAAATATTAAATTTTATTCGTAGTATGTATTAGATTATATCATATATCCATATATATTATATTTTAAAATAATAGTTATATAATTTATATAGTGTGTCAAGCTGTGCAACGATATATCATATTATATGTGTGCTAGTAAATTGCAAAATCTCAATATATCAAATCTTGTTTCAATTTAAAATGGAGAAATTACTTTACGATAATGCGTTACAAATAAATTTTAGTTTAAAATTTCATATAGCATCTGTAATATTATGTCCGTCGCATTACGAAGTACCTAATAAGAGAAATTTATGAAAAATTCTGTTTCTATAAAAGAAAAGTATTGCAACAAAAACTTATATTTTGACTTTTTTTATTAAATGTAATAATACTGTGCAATATGGAATGTGTCATTTTTTTTATACAATAGCTTACATCGTTATATAATGAAAAAAAAATATCCAGCTCCAAAATGCCCGCTTTTTCGCGCGCTTAGTGTGACGTCAAAGTATATCATATACAGAAAAATGGCGACTTTTATTTAAGCTATTTGAATATTTGCACTTTTCAGTGGTTATCTTCTACGTATAATATTCTTTATCAAAAAGAAATGACATAAAAAAATATTTATATAGGCTTATTTCAAAAGCAATAAGACCATAAAAAAATCACCTTTATTTATTAAACGCATATTCCGTATTGATTTGCAAATAGAAATTTGCGATACTTTTCTGTTTAATATACGAGATTTATTTAATGTATATTTGTTAACACTTTTTTTTAATGAAACAAATAATAATAATTGTTTATATATTTAGGAACTTGATTTGTAAAAGATCAAAAAAATGTTAATATCTGTTTCCCTTTAGTAAAGAATAAATGAACAAGAGTTCATAAATTAATTTATTTGATTTATTTCACAAATACTATAGACCGTTAATAATATAATATTATGATATACATATTATTTATGTATAGAATAGTTAAAACATTTAAATTCTTTTTGTAATTGTTATATATTTTCTTTATTTTAAATTGAATGTAAGGAGACATTCATAACATATGTTCGCACGTATGGAAGGGGGGAGGAAGTGGCGGGGGGGGGGGGGCTTGTCACTTACCACTTACTGTGACAAGTGGGGATTAGGGGGGTCTAAGGAAATGTGACGTTTTGCGTAACGTATTTTATGAACGGCCCCTAATTTCTAACTCATTGACTAAACTTACATAGGGAGGCGCGAAATCCTAACTATCTAGATGTCTTATAGATTATTAAAACTTGAAAATTAACAGGAATTTTATAAAAAAAAATACTTAATCCATTAAAGTACTTATTGGTTACCGATATATTTTGTTTTATTTATCCCCATACGAATGCTACCTATAAATTAGGTCGATGATAAAATTGAAATAATTGATTTTAAAGATCTAAATTAAATGAAAGCCAAATATTAGTTGTTTTTGGATCATCGGTGTGACAACTTTATTAATACCACTTACACAGTATGTAATTTTCGCACGTCTAACTACTTTTCTTGTGTAAAAACTAGACTAGTTTCCGATACACGTGTGAACGTGGTTTGGGTTTTAATGGCTCTCAGATTATATATGGAAATGTAGTATGGATAGAAACGATCTAGGTGAGATGACTGCAAAACACAACTCAAAACATGTAAGTATATGAGTATTAAATAATATGCAGAGATGAAGATAATGGGCAATGTGATTAAAATATGTATATAATTATTATCTTCATATAATTCGTTGGCACACTATTACAAGGTTCTATGTTAATTTTAATAAAGTTTTGTAATTTTTACATAGAACCTCGT